AGTAAAATACCTGGTAAAACCCCAAAACCCCAAAACCCCAATTGTCAAATTCATCAATATTTATGCACAATTAAGAAATTAAATTTAGCGATTCAAGATATCATAAGTTTAATCATCTTCAAGTATTTTTAGTCTTTGTAATTTTACCAGGTATTTTACTGCTTGGAGATTCTCTGTTTCCAAGTTGGTACTGCCCACTCATATTAGCGCTAATATTTCCGCTATCACTGCCTAGTGATTTGAAATGACTCGTTTGATTTGCTAATCCACCAGGAGCGCCCACACCTAAATTCAGCATACTATTAGTGCTTTGCAAAGTCTAATATTTATTGTAATTCGAACTTCCAAGAGCCCCTTAACTGAATTATTGAGAACTGATCATTTGATTTTAATCAAAGTTGAACTACTGTGATTAGATTTGATAGCCCTCTTAATGAAGGTTCTGGAATGTTGGTGATCTCATTGTGTTTTGATAGACAATATTTGGGTTGTATTGATCCTCCTAGAACTAGAATTTATTTATTTAAAGCGAGTCGTTCTCCTTTTATTCATACATCATTAATTTAGCATTTCTTGCCATCAACTCTTGTTTATCTTTTCGAAGTGAATCAATCTACTATTCCAGTAGTTAGCATCTATCTTCTAATGTCTAAAGATTAGTCTCCAGTAACCTCTAAATTTCTTCTTACTTGTTCGATCGCTCTTCATTATATGATCTAAACTTCTCCTATTCTTCACGAATAGTAGTATTAATCTACTCTTTAAGATACTCATTTTCTCTTATCAATGTTACATTATCTTTGATTAGCTTCTCCTTGTCCATCTCAAGTCCTCTTATCTTATCTTCGAACTTATTGATGTTATTTGAGCTAAAGTCAATGCTCATATCTCTCTTCTGAAGTATAGATTCCATAGATTGAATCTTGACATCCTTCAACTCAAGATCCCTTAACTTATCTTAAAGATTCTACTCTTACTCAATGATCTGTTGCATGTGCTATTTTCTTTCTTGAGCTAATTCATCCTTTTCTCTGACAAGTCTCTCCATCTTCTCATTGACCCTTCTAAAGTTATCTCTTGTGTCATAAAAATCTTTGCCTATCTAATCATAGTTATCTTTCAGCTGATGAAACTCATCCTTGGATACACTTTAACCTAGCTCTCTCTGTAGTTCTTATACTTACATACCATATTTTTCGCAAGTTTGATAAGATTAGACTAACTCTTGCTAGATCTAGAATAATTTCTCATTGATCTTTTTATTTTCTATCTCATACTACTGGTTTTGTTAGCTTATCAAGAGAGCAGCTGCTTTCTACTTATCAACTACTCCTTCTAGCTTTAATAAATGTCTATTATAGAATTCTTTTGGTTTAAAAGTTGAAAATAGGTACTGCATGTCAAAACTCAACTAGGAGTAATCAATGTTAAAGGTACTAGATTATGAATGATGATTAGTGTGGGTTTAAATCTGATTTCTCAAATTTCTGATACCATAAGATAGCACAGAAAGTATTGGCTTAGATTTAGTTGAAGGGGTCTTTAAATCTTAAAGGATAGAGGATAAGTTGTCAGATACGGGCAAGTTATAGTTTATCATTAATTGGATCAAATCAGCAGGAGTTGTTTGGATGCTAGATCTCAATTTAGATTCAGTATCAAGATTTGATAGCTTCTATAGTCTCAATGCACAAATCACTACAATTACATATTTCCTGAATTTGAGACAAACACTAGGGAAGGCAAGTTCTTTTTAGATTTTTCTGATTTTCTTTCTTGTATCTGGAGAGTATATATTGCTTAAACTGCTAGATTCATCTTTATATCTATTGTTTTACTTTATGTTTCCAGAGCTACCAAAGTTTCCAGTTTTCTGCATATGCTCATTTAGAAGCTCGTCTCCTACTATTTATTTTTCAGTTTTCTTATACATGTACTTTTAAGCTTTCTATGTATTTGAGAATTGATTCTAGATAAACTTCAGTTCTTTCATCACTGCAGTCTTTTGGAATATTAGCTCCTCAATTTTAATCAGCAATGAAGGGACATACCTTGTCTCTAGCTCCTACAGCTCAGATAGTCTAAGAGCCATATTTTGATTCTCAGAATTAACCTACAATTCACTTCTTTATTTCTCTATATTTTCATTTCTCAGCACCTCTATCTATTATTGCAATTCTAAGTTGATTTTTTCAATGTCCATTTGATATTCCTTAAACCTCTGATACTTTTTCTCGAAATTGACCTGTAGTTCCTACAACTCTTGATGTCTGAGTTCTTCATTATGCTTCAAATCTTGAATGCTCTTCATCTTAAGTTCCTCATAGCTATTTAGCAGCTCCTGATACTATTGATCCTTGATCTCTAGATTTTTAAGTTCAAAGTTGAGAATATTTGTGATATCGCCTATCATTGTAGCTATTTCTGCAATGCTTGCAAATCTCTCACTAGTGAAATTGTACCTCAAGCTCATGTCAAGCTATGTATTTATTCTTTGATTGTTTTCAAACTTGTGTCTAATATTGTATAGAATGTTGTACATTTCAATGGAGAACTTTTAAGTTTCGCTTTCCAGAGATTGAATCTGCTCCTTCAGATTGTTGTTTTAATCTAGGATCTTGTGGAGCTCTGACTTGAACTCATCGTTTTAAGAGGTGAGTACTTCTGATTATTTGATTGAGGATTTAAGCCTTTTAAAATCCTCTAATATTTCTTATTTTATCTTTTGGGCGTCTTTAAGCTCATTTTAAAGGTTTTCTTGTCTTTACTGTTGCTTGAAGAACTTTTACTATACTTATGTCTTCTAGTTTATTAGTAAATTTCTAAGTTTTTAGAATTCTTTCAAGATAATTGGATCAATGTATGATATATTTAAGTCATTCTGGTTGTTAAGTTCATCTTCATTTTCACCTGTAATTTCTAAGTCTTCTTACTCGGAAATTGCTTTAGCATTGATATTTTTTGCTACCCACTAAGCAACACTCTTAATTTCTCTCTGAAGATCTTATCTTTGCTCTTTGATTTCCTGATCTCTGTGCATAATTTGATCTTCTTTTGCCTTGAGGAACTTTTGCTTCTCCATCATTTCACTTCTAAGACCGTGTATTTCATCTCTGGTCTTATCGATTTCATTCTTGAACTGCAGAGGATCAGTTATCTCTAGATCCTGATATATTTCTTAGAAATGCACTAGACTCTATCTTAACTCTTGATTTTCCTAGAGCAAGTTTTCTTTCTTAATAGCCTCCTTATCAATATCTTTTTGACATCTCTCAACTATCCTATTCAGATCTAAAAGGTTTTACTCTAGCTATGGCATTCTTTATTCAAGTTGAAGTCTCTTTTGATTGATATCCTCCTTATCTCGCTTTATCTTATGAATATCATCTCTCAGCTTCTTGATCATCTGGTCTTTGTCAGTGACTATCTTGGATTGATTCAGAGAGTCTTGCTGTTTAGATTAAATCAAGTCACTTAACTCCTTAATTCTCTGCTCTAGAAGTTTCTTCTCTTTTTGATTAAGCTTTACTTCTTTCTTGAGTCCACTTATCTTACTGACGCTGGCTTCCTCTCTTTCATGCATGCTTATCTGCAAAGTTTCCAATTGTTTACCTAATGACTCTACTTGTTCCTTGATACAAACATATAGTCTCTCCTTCTAATCAACTTATTGCATCAGCTGTTGTATCTACAACCCATCGTCTTCTTTCTGTTTCCTGTACTCAGCAAGGTAATGATTCATATCATCTATCTCGTTCATCAGAGCATGTGTTTTCTGATCTCCTTCAAATGTCTGAGATTGTAAACGCTTTTCATAGTGCATTCTATCCTCCTCGTAGTACTTGAATCTCTCTTCGAACAAAGCAATCTGCTGCTTTAAGTTCTAGATTTGCTGTTTATAAGCATCTATTTGTTTGTTCTGAATCCGAAGGTTGTCAATAGTCTCCTCTTTCTAAACTATCTAATCTTTCAAGGTTTTAATCTAGAGAACTTGGCCTTAAATCAACTCTATTGCTTCTAATTCTGTCTCATCTATACTATCAGCTGCATGATTAGTAGATGGAGGGGAAAGAGTTTGCTGGTAAATTTGATTTGGATTAGTATTGCTGCTATTAACGTTAGCTCTTCGATACGAACCGAAGTGCTACTATTACTGCTAAGCATTCATAGCGCTTTAATTGCCTTCTTCAAAGTTCATTTTAATTTCAAATTTAAATTAATTCAAAATATAATTAAATCATTTAATAAATTTATACTTGTAAAAGGTAAAACGGGGTTTTGGGGTTTTGGGGTTTTGGGG